AAACTCAGTAGAGTGGGACAGTATTTTATGCCTGCACACCGTTTGCAACATTACAAGGAGCAGATTTGGCCTCATATGGAATACTGTTCTCATCTTTGGGCCGGGGCTCCCCAATGCGAGGTCCTTCCACTTGACCACATAGAGCGCAGAGCAGATGGAACCGTCAACGACTAAGTTATCTCTGATTGGCTCAATTCATTGGCGTTGCATATAGATGTTGCATCCCTTTGCATTTTCTGTCGTATTTACCACGAGGATTGCTCTGAGAAAATGTTCAGATTAATTTTAGCCACCAAATTTCACCAATACACATTGTGACAAAACTTACATTACCATCTACATCATTTGGATGCTTGGTGGTCCACTACCGTGTGATTTATTAGGAGTTTTCTTTCTCGCACTAATACTTTTTGAAATTGTTTAAAAATATATTTTTACCGACCGATACGACTTAGGGACCTTAAAGAAACGAGTTTACTCCTTTTTAAAAGGTCGGCAACACATCTGCAATTCTCCAGGTGTTGTAGAATAGTATTAAAATATTTAAAAAGAAAGCTATCTTGTTGACTGGTTGTACTGGTTTTATTGGCTGATATAGACTTTTCATGTTAAAACTAACGGCCGTGTGCCCCGAAATGGGCCCACCCAATTTCTTCATTGGTATTCTTATCTTTTATATCTCTTCAGTATTTTTTATCAATAACACCAATCGATAAATGTAGTCAATCACTTTGGTAATGTTACTGGATACCAGAGGGAACTTATTACAATAATAATAAATGTTCGAGAACAATCTACCAGAAGTAATATAATTTAAAAATTATTGGGTAAATATACATTATACTTACAATAATAAAGCGAAATCACATTCAGTTTTTGCTCCATATCAGGTATATACAATACCTTAAGACACAATCGGTTTTTTTAATTTAGGAAACGAATGCGTCTTGACCTTTTGACACTAAGACTACATGATATAAATCCGAAATATGTCCCATAGGACAAAAGTAACAGGTGACCACTTTCTGGTCCGGTCTATTACTACTATTTAAATGTCTTTGTACATACCCCTTCTTTAAAACCGCCATATCTGTGTAAGGTGCCATTCTTAAGAAAAATTCTAAGACCCCAAGAACCGATAAACTTTTGGAAGTTTACAAGATCAATATCGTTAGCTGATATCTGTTCTACTTTGCCGGTTTTACTATTTTTGAATACTATATTCTGGTCAGTCATTTTCAATCGACCAGGCACCTGAAACAAAATAATAATAAATTCGTCATTTTAAGTCTTTTTTTTAAATATAAACTTAACGGTGTTTTTGTATTACCATCGCCCCTTTTATTTCAGCAGACACATCATTATATTCAAGAAACTCCATAGCGGTTTCTTTATATTTTTCAAATTATTCCCTCCGTCTCACTTCTTTTGAATAATTACACAATTTTTAAGTTTATAAGTTTTCAACGAGCAATTAATATTTACTATGTACGTAATGTAACCATTAACCCTCTATACCCGCATTATCCAAATACTGCCATACTGCCAAATACATAACCAAACAAATGCAAACAAAAAACAAGAACAACATTTCAGTATATGTAAAGGAACTCTCATACTCTGTGCAACAATCACAGGCTATAATGTGTATGCTTTTTTTAATAACTGGCTTTACGGCCCTGGGTTCTAGCTCTTCTGAGCCTGAAGTTACAATGTATAATTATCCTTCATAGTACACTGCTTCACAATATGTTGATGCGTCACATTATGCAGCCCTTGGGAGATTTTGATAGCAACTTGAGTCAGCAGAAAGCTGATAGTTGGCGATGGTACCTCAAGGCGCCTAAGCAGACCGACACCTTATCTTGGAAATCACATCACGATCAGAGCACTTGTTTCACGGTTTCGTGGGGTCAGCAGAACTTCCTTCAGATTTTATAGGATCTGGCACTGCTTTATCCAATTTAAGTACCCCTATGTTCGGAGGCTTGTATGTCAGATTCGTAAATTTGGAAATTGAAATACAGTTTTGGCCGAACTTGTGAAATCCTTGTACGTTTTGTAGGTTCTTGTACAAATTAGCATTAGCTCAAATAGGCCACTAAGAGGTAGACGTGATTTTATTTCAATAAAAAGTTGGATCAAAAAAGACTGAAGTCGTTGCAAGAATGTTGTGATTTCTATCTATTGCCTTGCATCTCGAGCTAATGATTCAATTAGTTTTGCACTCCAAGGTATATTTTAGATACAGGCAAAAAATTCACTGATGATGTCGGGTCTAAATCTTATGCTTCTCTTGCTTAAAATGTCTAATCTTGTGCTTCTCAAATAACAAATCTTTATGTAACAACTTAAAAGAAGTACAAACCTATCTGCAAAATCTTTGTATACTCTTTGTACTGTGGAGTAATTGCTTTGAAATATAATATTCATTTTATTTGTTATGGGTAAAATATAATCTAAGGCTAGGGCATAAAAGTAAATTTTAATGATGTACCATTTTAGAAATTTTGGGTTTATAATTCAGCCTAGATAATACTAAAATCTTCTAGATATTGTCCACGAAAGTAAAGTTTCCGTGGATCCCATTTTTCAATAATTCTATTGATACATGTATGCAATGATAACCAGCGTATACACGGAATATAAAAAAGAGGAAGTAGAAAAACGCATAATTTGTAGCGGAACCACTGTCGCCAAACTCACACATACGCAAGAAAGAAATGTGTACCAATAATTGTGTACCATTGCAATAATTTTAAAAACTAAAAGAGAAAGACATTATGTTACTCACAATTTACTTGATTACGAACCTTAAATCCTTAAAAATAGAGATTATATTACTTTTCATCAAGGATGTTTCAAGAATTAATGAGCAAATTTAGCTTCTTAACGCTAGATGTAGCAATAAACATTCACACTATGATAGACACAATGCAAATAGATATAACGTTGACATTGCTCTACCTAACCTGTACTGCTACGTGAACTATATTAGTGAGGTAGTTACTCTCCCTGAATGTGATCTGGCTTATATCGATATTCATTATATGATTATTATCATGTATATGAATTGAATTGACTGAAGAATCTGAATTGCAAAAAAATGATAAAATGAATAAAGTAACAAAATTTATTGGAAATTGCGTTGATGTAATTCATAAAGCCGGCATATAATTAATTTCCTTTATAGAATTTTATTGACATTTAGCTAAATTATCATTTATGAAATGGAAACAAGGAATATAATAAAAAAAACAATAATTTTACAATTGTTTATTGTCATTGAAACAACACATATTTGTTAAAAATTATCGTTTTCACACTTTAATATGAAATTTCAGACGGTAATGAATGCGGATACTAATGTAGATCATGATATTAAGATCACTTTTATTTCAGCTTATTTCCAAAAGTCATGAGTACTACTAAACTACTTACTTACTTTTCTGGCTTAGAAACACTAACAAATGTTCATTAATATGTTAGTGAATGAACATGACTGTGATAAAATTTTATCGAAAACTTTAATATCGGCGTAGTCACAAGACTATCGTAGCTATTTTTATCCTAAACGTATTTACAGATGAACCTTAGTACAACGGAATAAGGTTGAAAATTACTTGTAATAAAGGCAATTTAACATTTTGACCATGTTTAATGAAATTTGAATCCAAAAGAGGAAAAAATTACACGTGCCTTTGGTACCAAACATCTCCATTCAAAATATTTTTCTTTTTACTTTCGTTTTTTCACTCCAGTGTTGCACGAAACGGCATATTTTTCCATATATCACTTAAGCAACTATCCGTCAGCTTGCAACAATTTGAGCGCGTGACTGACAGTCAATTACGCTCTACTGTCACTAATTGTGACACGCTAGCCCCGCCCACTCTGGACTTTCTCTTGTTTTTTATACGCCGTGAGCGTATATCGTGAGCGTAGAGCGTGACGATGACAGTAAATCCTTTTAACAAATGGAGTGGCTCATATCCAATGGTAACTTGTTACGGCCTAATGATGAAAAATAAGAATGACAATCCACTACCGTAATATTTGAAACAAAACCTTATTGCATAATATCTTAAATTGCCATAAACAAAAATCATTTACTTCATACATAGATAGTAATGATTTTTTTAAATTACATTTTATTGTTTTAACTGTGTCATTAATTCCATAAATTTTAAGAAAATACGAATTTAGTAAATCATTGCTCCGCCGGAGATCAGATTGGTGGCGAGGCCCGCAGAGGGTGTGATAAGCAACAAAGTTACGGCCATTTTCTTTGTTGGGCTCAGCTTTTTTCCTCTTTTTCTTTTTAATAGAAAAAACTCTATGGTAGTAGTAATTTGTCAACTTGTGTTCTGGCGGAATTTTGATCACCGGCAGATTGCTGTTCTTGTTTTAACGTTTTAATAATGGCTTTAAGTTAATTTCCATACATAAAAGCGGTGTGGTCTTGTGTAATAAATTGTCTACGCATGTGAAGGTGTATTAGTTGAAACGATATTGTTAGTGCTTTGACGGTGACACAAATCTTTAGATTTTTTACTATTCGTTAAATGCCTTGAGAGACTATCTTCAACTGTCCGTTGGATAAAGCTATCACCACATCTCCCAAAAACTTTTCAATGTGCATCAGCATAATATTTTTAAGAATTTTGTAAACAAATTGCATGTAATACTAGCCTCTAGGGGCGTAGATTCCTTTGTAAAATAAAAAGGTATATGATCAAGTGTCAATTCAACTGTCAAATGTCAATGTCATATGTCGTCATTATATTTATTTCATGTTTATACGATTTTGTTAGTGGACGTGTTTTTGCAACTAAAATTGTTTGTTTACGAAACTAATCACAATAATTATTTTACCCAGTTGCTTCTTAGAATATAGTGGAAGTGTTACGTAGTGTCGTGGGAATCACCATTTATTTAACGATCTAAATTGTGGTCCTTGTTATTTTAAACTGTAGGTGTCTTTTGCATGTGCGAAATCTATGGCGTCATTATCGCTTCCCCGAGTACTTCAGCTAAAGAAAAATAGTCTGGATGCTGAACGTGAACAATTCGAAAAATTCCAGGTAAATATATTTTTTTTAAACCTCAAAGTTTCTATTTAACCAATAGAGAAAAGCGTTCTTGATTCTTAGGTAACAAGTAATTGGCCGTAATGATGATTTATAGTATTTTGGAAGGATATGATTAATAATATTCAAGTATAATTAATAGCGAAACTGGTAAGATCAACTTTCCCAATTCAAACTACCAGTTAAGTTTTAACAACAAATTAACTGAATCAGATCAGAACGTTGCAATGGTTTTGATAAATATTTTACTATATTCCGATCTTAACCACTAAATCACTGAAAATTCTTCTCCTGCCGTCGCTGAATTATTACTTAAAGAAAATGTAAAGGCGTGTACAAAGAATTTTACATTTCATAAAATATCATCAAAAGATATTGTAAAATATTTTGAAACACTGTAGATCTATGGCAGATTCCTGTTAAAGTCATTGCATATATAATAGATATGATTGCGCCTCAACTTTGCTTTTATTTTTAATACTAGTGTCAAATATGGTGTGTTTCCTGATTTAATGAAGCATAGTAAAGTCATACCTTTATTTAAATCTAGTAGTACATTAGACCCTGCCAATTTTAGACCTATTTCTGCGCTACCAACAGTTAGTAAGATTTTTGAAAAATTATTCTTGAGCAAATGTACTTAATTTTTTTATATAAATAATTTACTCTACATAAAAATCAATTTGGTTTCACAAGGGGTTGCTCGACAACTGAGGCCGATATTGAGCTGATTAAATATATCTTTAATGCATGGGAGAATTCACAGGATGCTTTAGGTATATTCTGTGACCTATACAAGGCCTTTGATTGTGTTCACCATGAAACATTAATCAGGAAATTTCAACAATATGGTGTGAGAAGTGATGCTCTTAAAATAATCATTTCATATTTAAGTAACAGAATGCAAAAAGTTGTTGTTAACAGTATGAGCTCTTCCAGGTCGATGGTATAAATGGGCGTACCTCAAGGCTTAATTCTCGGCCCCCTTCTGTTTTTTGTATACATTAATGACTTACCTTACATAGTAGGGGATAACCATGGTATAGTATTTTTTGCTGATGACACTTCTATTTTCAAATTAAAATGACAATTACTAAAATATGACAAAGTAAATAATGCTATATTGAAATCAGTAAATTGGTTCAATGTTAATAATTTGAATTTAAATGGCACTAAAAGGAAATGTATGAAATTCATGACTCCAAATGTCAAACAATTAAATATTAATGTTATTTTAAATGGGGACGAACTGAGTCTTGTCAATACCACCATTTTTGTTGGAGTCACACTAGACGCAAAACTTCAATGAAGCTCCCATATATCAAAACAAGCTAGCAGGCCTAGTTTTGCAAAAGATTAGAAATCTTACCAGTGTGGAAACAGCTAGACTAGTTTAGTTTACTTTAACTATTTCCATAGCATAATGTCATATGTCATTTTGCTATGGGGACACACAGCTGAAACTGAAATTATATTTGTTTTACTGAAGAGAGCCATCAGATTTAAGATTTAAAGCCTAAAGAGTTACTGCTACAAAAATTTATGGAAATTAATATATTAACTTTGGCTTCTCAATACATTTACGAAAATGTAATATACATACACAAAAATAAAAGTAGTTTTACAAACATAAGTGATATTCATTCTGTAAATACTAGGAATAGACAAGCTAGTAGTACCAGTTACTTGACTACACCGAGTCAGTAATTCATCCCTGAGGCAATGTATACACTTTTACAACAAAATCCCAGAAAATATACATAATTGGACCTACTCGAAGTTCAAAATATTTATTAAACTAAGTTTGTATAAAAAGGGTTATTGTAATATTAAAGAATTTATGGATGATAATAACCCCTGTGAATAAGGTGATCATTAGCAAGCTATTTCTAATTTGTTTTGTGTTGTTAATTGTGTAACATACATGATTGTAAGCTGTTATTTAAAAAAAAAAGTCCTACTGAGTTACTTGCTGGTTCTTCCCAGGACAGAGGTTTTTTTCGAACCAGTGGTAATTAACCAAAAGAGTGACTTTCAATAAGTATTATTTATAATCTATATTGTATAAAAAAGTTTCTGTTTCTGATTCAACCTGAAATTTTATGTATTTATTTAATCTACTTTTTTATACATTTTGTTTTATGTTTAAAAGATATTCTACACTATCAGTAGAAAGTTTATCCATCATACAATTTGCTTTTATACTGTTTTCAAATTCTTTAACACCCCTCCCCCGCCCCCTTTGTATATGCATGGTTTTTTTTTTAGAAATTTATGAAAATTTCATAATTTTCTGCCAATTTAGAAAAGAATCATTTTGATACATTTTCTTCCTACATAAAAATGGGAGAGAGGGGATAGGGCAGGCAGCCCCTTTCGTAACTTGCTCTCAAAAATACATATTTGTTAATTGAAATTCCTGCCAAAACTAGTTTTGAGAAAATTTGCATTAAGAACAGATAATTATCAACCAAACCCTATTTTAGGACAAATTAGCTAATTATAGGCGATACTAGACTAGACAAGGAAATATTCGAGGCTTTGGTAAGTGCCACCCGAGCTGCACTGCAATATTAGCGACAGTAGGTTGCTATTGTCACTTTTTCCAACAAGTAACACAACTAGCACCATATCAAATGTGTATACCAATGTCAAACAAGCAATAATAATTAGGAAAAATTATAATTATGTACTTAATTTTCTCGAAACCTAAGTTTCCTAGCACCGAAACTTTCTATGCATATGTTGAAAAATTAATCTTTGGAACAATAGTCATTTAAAAGTGTTAAATTAATCTAAAGGAGAGCCAAAACATTTTACTGGGTAGAACTCCTGTTTGAGTTACCACCCTCGTACCTATTTCTGCTGCCAAACTACAGTGCCTAAACTGCTGTGTTCCAGTCTGGTATAGAGAGCTTAGCCATTCTTAGGTTGCAAGGCATTTTCATTCCTCAGAGGTGACAATGCAATAATAGAAATGAAATTGTGTTTTTCTTGTGGTAGCAGTGCAAGAGAATCCATCACCCTATTTTGTTCCATGGTTGTTGGTTGTCATATGAGGTAACTATGTGATAATATGTCAAAAAAGGATAAGGGTGACAAGCAAGCAATCAGTCCACCTGATGGTAAGTGGTTGCTGTGGCCCATAGACATCTACATCTATCCTTGTTTGCGAATCAGAATGTAGATGCATTGTTAGCTGTGAGGACTAAGATGGAATGCCTCTTTTCCAGTAGAGAGGGTCACCGGTTCTCTACACTCACCATACGAAACACAGCAGCATTAAGCTACTATTTTACGCTGGTATTCTGTGAGAGTGTGGTCCTTCTCTGGTCGAGTCAACCCATTTGTGCTACGATTATACAATTAATATAGCTTCAATGTGTCTCTACCACATTTAAACTTATATGTACACTCTGATTTTTGATGATGTTAATGCTGTTAGCCTTTTTGGCTTTTGCAGCTTCATCAGTCTCAGGGCAGCTAAAAAAGGGTGAATTTATGTTACACTGCATCATTACTTGGGTAATGATCACTGCATCATTACTTGGGTAATGATGACTCCTAGGACAGTGTATGCAGTACATGTGGATGAGTTATCTAGCGGCTGTCCAAACAGGGGGTGGTGGATCCCGGCTCTGATGGCTAACTTGTATTGTTCGATGTTCTGATTGGTGAGAACCGCCTAGGGACGCGGGTGTACGGTGTGTACGCGATATGGAGGGGTGTGTAGATGACATAAATGTGAAATATAAAAGATTTATTTTAGTATTTTATTTTATTTTTTAATTATATTTATTTTGTGCTATTTTATTGTTTTATGTTGGTTCTGAAATAATTTTTATTTCTAATGTTTTTTAAACAGTTACAGTTGCTTTTGGAAAAAGTATAAGTAGCAATTCCTTCCTACCTAATTAGTAAATATTCACCTAGGGAATGTGCATATTTACGCGGCCAGGTTTTTATATCAAGTATGTGTTTGCAAATACGCCGACTATGTGTGGAGCCAAAATACTTGTAAGAGTTGAAAGTATTTTATTCAGTAACTCGCTTGTTGCATGACTTCGGCCGCACTTGGTGGATGGAACACTTAAAATTTATGCGAGTTGTGAGCCCTGTTAGCCAAACTCCCACTAATCAATAGAAATATTTCCAAGGTTTCGAAGTATTTTTTCGCACTTGCGTGAATCTTTTCATATGAAAATAACTCAGTGTACTATACTGTCGTCAGCTGCATCACCACTTACCATCAGGTGGAATAGTAGTCATGCACTGGTTTAGAATAGTTTAAAAAAATTATATGGCACAAATCAATCCAACACCAAATCTAACCAAATGAACAAACTGCACGTTTGAGCAAGGTGATTCTAAAGTTCTTTTTTAATATTGCCCCACTAGTGTATCAGTCGCTTTCCGCCGATTACTAAAATACATCGGGTGGTATTTCCAATATGTCACTATAACATACCATTTGTGGTGGAAACGTGTTGCGCTCCTCTGGAATTATACCCAGAGCTATATTTATAGGTTGCTGGTTTAGATCCGGCTCGAAGGACCACTTTGTACAGACTCTTTGTGTGCATCTACAAATTATTATTGTCTTGTTGTCTTAATACTTGTGAATGTTTGATGAAACCATTTGATTTATAATACACGTACGCACACAATGTAATGCGATTTGAACAAATATTTATATAGATAATTATTCTACATTTTGCCTTTTTTATCCACCTCTGGATATAGCTCTTATACTCAGTGCAACTCGTGTGCGCCAAGACTAAAGTTGCACCGTTAAAAATTATTTCAGTCTCAAGATTGGAACTCTGTGCGGCAGTGTTGTTAGCTAAATTGCTTCGTAAGGTTCTAGAGCAAGAATTTATCACCCAGCATGCTCCCTATGTTACCACTTACACTGTGGGTTAATAAGCGCAAATACGATACCCCTTACACTAGTGATGCTGCTTTCACATTAATAGACGAGCTAATATTTTTTC